CTTCACTAAACATGTTAAATTTTAAAATCACTGCAAACTATCCAATAACCTTAATAGACTGTTATCTCTTATATTCACAATAACTCTTCGCTTAGAGAGATTTAACTTTCAAGCCTACCTGTGTTTTACTACCTAATCAAATAAAAATGGAAAAGCAATTAATAGAACCAAAGAAATAACATATCATTTTTCAATTTGTCACCACGGCCTACTAAAAAATTCAATCATTATAACATATCATTTTTCAATTTGTCACCACAGCCTACAACTAACAAAAAATTCAATCATCCTCATAGTGAAGGTACTCATCGCATTTTTAACACAATTATTCCCAGTCAAACGAGAAAACAAATCTATACAACCAATATCCTACCTCAATAAAGGCCTTTGGATTTGGGCAGTTTTGTCGCTTTGACAATCTTAGTGTACATTCTGCTGCAGTGCGGCCATCCCGGTGGGCAATTGCTTTAAAAAAATCAATCAAATTCACACGATCACCCTGAGAAAGTTCAGCAGTCATGCCTACATCAAGGAAAACAACATGAGGCTTTGATTTAAAGAGCCGTTTCCGAGAATTGTTTGGAGAAACCCGGACGAGGATATTTCCAGGATGCATGTCTGCATGAATAAAGTTGTCCACCTGAAACAATAAACACCCCATTTTCTAACTGAAAAATACTTAACAATCCTTGACTCATCATTGGGAACTTAGAGACAACACAAACACACACAAATAAAGTGTGTAAAAATTTACCAAAAGCATTTTGAGAAGTGCATGAGTCCCGATGTGCGCAAGTGCAGTTTTAATCCAATTATGTCCTTCAAGGTCATCGACATAATGCGAGACACTTTCTCCTTGCTCATAAGATTCCACTAAAACAGCAGGATGCACAAGTGGATAGACAGGCTTCGGAAAAGAAACATCCTTCCACCTTCGGAAGTTATATATAAAGCGGCTTAAATGTGCAGCTTCCCTTGCAAGGTCAACTTGGGACATCATGAAAACAGCGAACTGTTGCACACTCTCATCAAGTCTCAACCAATTCAAAGCTGGAAGAAATGTTGATATCTTTGCAACCAAGTTTATTATCATAAAGTCTCTTCTAATTGATTCACCAACACCAGGATGTCTAACCTTTACAGCAACCACTGTAGGCTTTGTCAGTTTTTTTCCAGGGTAGTGACATTTCAAAAAGGCACGATGCACTTGAGCAATACTTCCAGATGCTACAGGAACCTCTTCAAAACCCTCAAAAATTTCAGAAAGTTTGCGACCAAATGCTCTTTCAATAGTTTTCTTCGTGTACGCAAAACTATGTTCAGGAGCTTTAGAATGTAGCTCTGAAAGCTTGGTGCATAAGTCTCTAGGAAATAGATCCGGTCGGGTAGCTGCCCATTGACCCCATTTTATAAATGCTGGACCT